CCTATCTCCCCGTTCTTCATGGGGATGATATAGCTGGATTTGCTCCATTCACCACTTCACAGGATTTTACTAAAAGTGAGAGCATTTTTAAGAAGATCCATAAGTTTAGTTTTTTTCCACAGAAGCATTTCTTCTTGAATTTCCTGAGAACTCTGTCATCAGGTCATGCCATCTCTACTCTTAAACACTAACTAGAGAGGAAGAAGACAAAGAGGGGAGATGTTGGGCTCTCAAGCATCCCATCAAGTCCTAGCTTGTGCTGACTTTGCAACTTTGTTTAAGGCAGTTACAAACTCCTTGCTGGTAACTTGGCCTTGGCTTCCAAATTCCTGTTGTAGTTGAGCTTTGTTCTTACATGCAGGTGTAGGAGGTTTTTCTTCTCAGAAGTTGAGGCCACAGGGAATTAGGCCACACCTGCTGCTCCTTTATTTTTCTCTCCTCTATGGTTTATCTGAACGAAGAAGAGTATCCTTCCCTCTGAATCTGGAGTGTGGAAAATCATGGGCAGCCTACTGTTAATTGTTGCTTGGCGGGCAGACATGATCCCAAGGAGGGAGTTGGCAATTCCCTTCCTCTGGCCAGCAGCATGCTTCCTATTTGTAAGTAATTATTCATCTATTCTTTGGGAAGAGGGGTTGTACCTCTTTCCTGAAACACACGAGACCAAAATGAATTCATCAAAGAGGAAAATAAGTTTGTAGTGCATGTTGTTAACAAGTTCTCTCCGCAGTAGGAAAGTGATTGGGGGACATAAGAGAAGTGGAGTTTAGTAATCATTTCCTTATTTTGGTGAAAGAAGAAAGCCACAAGAAATAAAATTCTGGTTAAAGGAAGAGTTGCTTTTGTTTACAGGTTCCTAGTGACTTCTCCAGTGGTTATGGCTGGCAAGTTTGAGAGGCAAATTTACATTTCAGGAGCTTGGGAGCTCAGCATTTGAGTCCATTTCTTTGCAAATAAAACCTGAGGGTTTAGTTTGTTCTAATTTAGAGTTGGACATTAGCCAAATTAGGAGTGAAGAATTCTACATCAGCAGGTTTACTGCTTAATTTTACTATCGGTTCTACTTAGCAACTTCAAGCACATTAAATGAGGCAGCTATAATCTTTTAGGGAATCAAGATAGGACAATTGGACATTAGAGGTTTTTTTTTTTTTTTTAAAGGACAATAGCTCTATAAATTGAATGACACTTGTAAGGTCCAAAAGTAAATCTAAATTTTAAGTTATTCCCTAAAACTATGCACATCTCTCAGAATCTCAAGAGAAGTAAGTATTCTCTTGAATATTCAAGAGTGTTCAGTCCCTGCTCAGCAGGTAGCTTGCTTCTCATTCTCTCTCTGCCTCTCCCCTTGCTTGTGCTATCTCGCTCTGTCAAATAAATAATTTTTTTTGAATTCAATTAGTTCAAATTAGAAGTAAAATTGTTAAATAAAGCTGAAATACTCATGTGGAGAAGAAAAAAGGAGACAAAAAGATGAGCGGCCTGCCACTTTTTTTTTTAGGCCAGTAATCTTGTATGTGAAAGGAGTCGCATCTTTAAGATGAACTATTAATGCTTTTTGTTTTTCTAAAATAACACTTGAAGGGATTACTTTGGGTTCAGAATAATGGTATTACTTGGGTGCTTGAAATGATTGCTTTGTGCATTTCCAGACACTTTTGATATTTGTGATGGAAAAAGCTAGTTCAGGCCAGGAGAAAGACTTTCAACACTTTGGTACTTACAGTGTGTTTTCACAAATGGGCTGAGACACACTGAGATATCACTTGATAATGGTGCTTCCCCACACAATGAAAACTTGGAGTAAAATTTAAAAATGAGTAACAAATTATATGGAAGCAAGTAGCTAATTCAGCTAAAACATTACTTTGTTTTAGAAACTAGAAACCTTGACATCATCTTTTGTTCCTTCTGCCCCTAATCAGTGCCCAAGATCACACTCCCTTCCTCTCGTTTTCTTGGCTGCTGCTTTGAACATTTCTTCAATGTCTTCCCTCTAAACTACTGGAGCAGTTTCTAAATTTTTTCCTGCATTTCCCTCTATTTTTTTTGTAATCCATCCTCCTGAAACATAGACCCATCCTTCTATTATAAACCTTTGTTTGGCACAACTCTGATAATCCTGGTAAAGACAAATGTTCCCTGGGTTCTCTTTGCTTTGGAGTAAAACCTTCACTGAAAGTTCAGTCCCACAGAGAGGGAAGTGTTAGGGTTAGGCAGATTGTCAGATGCCAACCAAGTAACTTGGGGTTCTTCCAGAAGCTGCAAGTCTAGGGGAAAACTGGATTGCTGATGAAGACACTGAGAAGCCCAGTTGCATGCACTGAGTACATGGTGAGGATGGGAGAAGGATGCAGGCCCAATGGACAATGTGTGCCCAAGACGCTAGACAATGGAGAGTAATAGCTGGACTATATCTACAGCCCATTCTCTAATAGATACATGACATTCTACTTCCTGTCCTGTTGGGAAACTCCTGAAGGTTGAACTGACCAGTTTTGGATCTTGATAATGCCAGTGAAGCAAGACTAAGAAGGGCTTCCTCCATTTTCTATAATCATGATTTCCAACCTGAGCTCATCCTATGAATTTCTTAGGAAGATTCCGGGGGTCCATTACAAGTGGTCTGAATCAGATTATTCAGATTATCCAGATGTGACCCCAGAAATATGTATTTAAAACAAGCTATCCAGAAAATTCCTTTTTTTAAAAGATTTTATTTATAGCATTGAGGGGAAGGGCAGAGGGAGAGGGAGAGAGAGAATGAGAGAGAGAGAGAGAGAGAGAGAGAGAATCTTAAGCAGACTCAGCACTGAGCTCAGAGCCGTACTTGAATGCTTACTTGACTGAGCCACCCAGACACCCCCAGGTAATTCTTAAGTAGCCAGTTGAGCACAAGTGTGAGGAATCAGTGACTTCGGGGGGGGGGGGGAATCAACATTCCTCACCATGATGTTCAAGGCTTTCAGCCACAAAATCCCCATCATTCTGTAGCCATTCACCTTTGTCAGTTTTTTTTTTCTCTGTGCCCCCCTCAGGGTTGTGAGGTTGAGTCCCCCATCAGGCCCTGTGCAGGGCATGGAGCCTGCTTAAGATTCCCTCTCTCCCTTAAAAAACAAAAAACAAAAAAGTCTTCATTGCAAGAGAGTGTCCTCAGTTTCAAATGTCAATTTGTGCTTTTTACCTGTGCTTCTGTGATCAAGCAGCTGCAGGTTGGAAGTTTCCAAGATTCCCTCCTTGGACTTCAGATACCAGTCACACATCCAGGCGGTTATCTGTACTTGTGACCAATTAGCTATAAATCAGAGGCTCCCACAGCCCCCTCCTTGGATTTGGTTAATTTGCTAGAGTGGCTCACAGTACACCGAACTCAGGAAATCTGTTTGCTTACTAGTTTACCAGTTTATTATAAAGGATATTTAAAGGCTGAGAACCAATAGCTAGATGAGGAGATAACATAAGTCAAGGATGTGGGAAAGGGCATGGATTCTCCAAGCCTCTCCAGGCATACCACTCTTCCTCACATCTCTACTTGTGCACAGCCTGGCAGCTCTCCAAATCCCTTCCTTTTGGATTTTTATGGAGGCCTAATTACCTAGATGATTGATTAAATCGTTGGCCATTGGTGATGGAACTCATTGTTCAGCCCTTCTCCCCTTTCAGGCGGTAAGGGAAGTAGGATTGAAAGTTCTAACCCTCTAACACATGGTTGGATTTTCTGGCAAACAGCCCCATCTTTAGGTTACTTAGAGGCTTTCTAAAAGTCACTCACCCACGTAACAAAAGATGTCTTTATCATTCTCATCACTTAGGAAATTACAAGAGTTTTAGGAGGTCTCTGCCAGAAGCTGGCACAAAGACCAAATATGTATTTCTTATTATAAATCACAATGTCACACCTACACAACCCTTAATATAGTACCAGTCACATAGAAGGTGCCTAATAAATGTTGAGTCATGGAGTATTTATGTGAACACGGTGCTATCACTGTGAAGGCTAAGATAATTTTAGCAGCACTCAGAAATTGGGAACTCCAGACTCCTCTCAGAAAGTGAATGGGGAGAGTTTTTTTGTCTTTTTCTTTGTCATATTTCAGTTAAGACCAGTCATAAAGCATGCTGGGACATCATCAAAATCACACCGGGAGGGTAAGGAAGGAATCCATGATCTACCAGAAGAAGGACTAGAGTTGCCTTATATAGAGATATACAAGGTCTCAGCTCTCATACCTTTTAAATTCTAGTGGGAGAAATGGACCAAAACCAAGTTAAACAAGTACAATTTTTCCAAAATGGTAAGTGTTTATCCTAGTAAAGGAGACAGTGGAGAATATATAAATCAGATGATTCAAATAGTGGTAAGTGCCATGAAAATAAAAGTGATGATGTGTCCAAGAGAGTTTGCTTATTAAAGGTGGTGGGGACAAGATTAGGACTCTCAGAGATGTCTTCTGTGTTGAGAAGTGGATATGAAGAAAGAGCTGACAGGAAACATTTCCAGGAAGAGGAAACCCCAAGTGGCACAACCTAGAGATATGAATGAACTTGAGTGTTTAAGGAACATTAAAAGACACATGTGACTAGAGGCCAGGAATGAGGGCCAAATGTGGGGCCCTGGAATTTTCATTTTATGCCAATTGTGTTGGAAAGGCATTGGAGAATTTGAAGGAAGGAGTGATATGATTTCATCATTTGATCAATCCTGAGAAATATTTAAGAGGTGTAATTAGCAGAATTAGGTGATTTCTAAAATACATTTCTTTTCTTTTTTTTTTTTTAAGATTTTTAATTTATTCATGAAAGACACACAGAGAGGCAGAGACAGAGGCAGAGGGAGAAGCAGATGCCTCACAAGGAGCCCGATGTGGAACTCTCTCCCAGGATCGCAGGATCATGACCACAGCTGAAGGCAGACGCTCAACCGCTGAGCCACCCAGGCGTCCCTCTAAAATACATTTAAAGGAAAGAGTGGAAGGTATTGCAAAGATTCAAAGGTGAGTTTCAGGTTTTTGGCTTGGCTAATTGGGTGACTGAGAAAAATACAGAAAGACAAAGTTTTTGGGGTTTTTTTTGTTTAAGATTTTATTTATTCACAAGAGACACACAGAGAGAGGCAGAGACATAGGCAGAGGGAGAAGCAGGCTCCTGGAGAGGAGCCTGATGTGGGACTCTATTCTAGGACCCCGGGATCATGCCCTGAGATAAAGGCAGATGCTCAACCACTGAGGCACCTTACAGGTGCCCCAAAAGGTGAAAACTGTGTGTAAAGTTTGATATACTATATTAGACATGCTGAGTCTGAGGTTCCCTGTGCTATCCAAGGGGAAAGGTTGAGTAAGAAATTGAGCATATGTATCTGAAGCTTTGGGAAAAGTCTCAGAGGTATAGATTAGAGACTCTTCATTTTCACGTAGGTAGTTGTTAAAACCTCAAGTGGATGACATTACACCAAGAGCGTGCAGCATGAGTGCGCTGTGGACAGACCCTTGGGAACAAGAAAATATCAAGTAAAAAAACATGGGAAGCAATCAAAGGAATCATTTTTTTTAGGAATCATTTTTATAATAAAAACTTACACATTCATTATATTTGATAGAATGGAGGCACTGATGAGCCTGAGGAGGCAAGTTGAAGCAGAAGTGACTTCACTTTGTGTTGACTGCTCTTTGAGAAACCTGGCAGAGAGTGGAAGGAGACAAATTATAGAGAGCAGTACAAGATTAGTGGAATTTTTTTTTGAGGGGTGGAGAATGCTTGATACTATTTACAGGCTAAGAAGAGAAAAGAAGAGAAAGAAATTTAATATTTAAGAGAAGAAGGAAAGTTGGCAGAATGAGAGCTTGAAAGAAAGATGGAGGGATTTGGAAGAGTTAACCTTATATGAGACGGACACCTTATTTTCTTAGCATGAAATGAGGTAAGTAAATAATAAAGTGTGGATGTCCACACATTTGCATACAAGGTGGTAGGATTTTAAAAGGGGGATTTATAGTCCCAATATAGTCCCAATTGTCTTATCTAATCTAGTTAGATAGTAAAAGATTGCTGATCCAAGAGCTCTGAATATATACAATGGTTTATTTTTTTATTGAAGTTAAATTCACAAACATAACATTAATTATTTGATTTATTTATTTTTAAAGATTTATTTATTTATTTTAGAGAGAGAGGGAGTATGAGCCAGAGGGACAGAGGGAGAGGGAGAAAGAATCTCAAGCAGACTCTCTGCTGAGCCAAATGCAGGGCTCAATCTCATGACCCTGAGATCATGACTTGAGCCCAAACCAAGAGTTCGATGCTTCACTGACTGTACCACCCAGGTGCAGTAATAATATAATAATAATAATAAATATTATTTATTTATTTAATTTTTAAAAAGTATTTTATTTATTTATTCATGATAGAGAGACAGAGAGAGGCAGAGACACAGGCAGAGGGAGAAGCAGGCTCCATGCAGGGAACCTGACGTGGGACTCAATCCCGGGACTCCAGGATTGCGCCCTGGGCCAAAGGCAGGTGCCAAACCGCTGAGCCACCCAGGGATCCCCTTTATTTATTTATTTATTTATTTATTTATTTATTTATTTATTTTTTATTTAAACATTATGTCTGTTTTGTTTTTTTTTTAATTTTTATTTATTTATGATAGGCACACAGTGAGAGAGAGAGGCAGAGACACAGGCAGAGGGTGAAACAGGCTCCCTGCACCGGGAGCCCGACGTGGGATTCGATCCCGGGTCCCCAGGATCGCGCCCCGGGCCAAAGGCAGGCGCCAAACCGCTGCGCCACCCAGGGATCCCCCCCCTTTATTTATTTTTTTAAAGTAGGCTCCACATCCACTGTGGGGCTTGAACTCAACCCTGAGATCAAGAGTGGCTCTACCAATTGAGCCACTGAGGCACTCCTAAAATTAACTATTTTAAACATTTTATTTATTTATTCATGATTTTATTTATTTATTCATGAGAGACACAGAAAGAGGCAGAGACATAGGCAGAGGGAGAAGCAGGCTCCCCATGAGGAGCCTAGTGAGAGACTCAATCCCAGGATCCCGGGATGGTAACCTGAGCCAAAGGCAGAAGTTCAACTATTGAGCCACCCAGGTGCCCCTAAAATTAACTATTTTAAAGTGAACAATTCAGTGGCATTCATTCATTGTTATATTCACAATGTTGAGCAACCACTACCTGTGTCTAGTTCAACATACCTAAAGAAAATTCTATATCTATTGAATTCTTCTGCATTTTCCCCTTCTCCCATTCCCTAGCAATCATTAATTTGCTTTCTGTTTATATGACTAAACCAATTCTGCACATATCTTTTTTCTTTCTTTTCTTTTTTTATAATACCAATTCTGCATATTTCCTATAAATGGAGTCATATAATATGTGAACTTTTGTATCTGGCTTCTTTCACTTACCATAGTGATTTCGAGGTTCATCCAGGCTATAGCATGTACCTTTTTATGGCTGAATTCCTTTTATATATATAACCATAATTTGTTCATCCATTTATCTGTTGATGGACACTTGGGTCTTTGATGTATAAATCTTTCAATTTCTTAGTTGTGTTTATTCTTATTTTATTTTTGATATTATTGTAAAGGGCATTGTTTTCTAAATTTTCTTTTTGTAGTGATTTTTTCTTTTTGTTAAAGTTTTTATTTAAATTCCAGTTAGTTAATATACAGTGTAATATTAGTTTCAGGTGTAGAATATAGTGAGTCAATACTTCCATACAAAACTTGGTGCTCATCATAGCAAGTGCCCTCCTTAATCCCCATCTCTTATTTTACCCATCCCCTCACCTACCTCCCCTCTGTTCTCTACAGTTAAGAATCTGTATCTTGGTTTGCCTCCCTCTCTCTTTTTGTTTCCCCTTTGCTCGTTTGTTTTGTTTCTTAAATTCCACATATGAGTGAAATCATGTAGTATTTGTTTTTTTATTTATTTCACTTAACATAATATTCTTTAGCTCCATCCATGTCATTGTAAATGGCAAAATTTCATTCTTTTTTTATGGCTGAGTAATAATACTTCATTTTGTGTGTGTGCACGTGTATACATGTATCTTCTTTATCCATATACTTCTTTTAAAACTTAGTTCATTCATTTATTTGTTTATATTTTCATTCACTAATTTATCCATTCATCACTCAAACAAGGTGACTCCTTTGAAATAAAACTGATTTTTGCATGTTGATTTTGTATCCTTGAACTTTGCTGAATTCATTTATTCTAACAATTTTTTTTGGTGGAATCTTTAAGGTTTTTATGTATAAGATTATTTCATTTGTGAACAGAGATAATTTTACTTCTTCCTTTCCAAATTAGATGACTTCTGTTTCATTTTCTTGCCTCATTGCTCTGTCTAGGACTTCCAGTACTATGTTGAATAAAAGTGGTGAGAAGGGGCATCCATACTTTGTTCCTGTTTTAGAGAAAAAGGTTTCAGTTTTTCACTGGTAAGTAATGTTAGCTATGGGTTTTTCATATATGGCCTTTATTATTTTGAGGCGATTTCCTTCTATTCCTAGTTTGGTGAGTGTTTTTTTCATGAAAGGCTATTGAATATTGTCAAATGCCTTTTACACATCAATTGAGATGATTATGTGATTTTTATTCTTTGTTATGTTAATGTGGTATATTCATTGATTTTTGAAGTTGAATCATCCTTGTATCCCAGGGATAAATATGTCTTGGTCATGGTGTATAGTCCTTTTAATGTACTATTGAATTTGGCTTATTTGGATTTTTTTTGAAGATTCTGAGGATTTCTATATATAATGTCTTTTTTAAATTACATTTTTAATTTTAATTCTGGTATAGCTTACAGTATTATATTAGTTTCAAGTATCCAATATAGTGATTGAACAATTCTTTTTTTTTTTAAGATTTTACTAATTTATTCATGAGAAATACAGAGAGAGAGAGAGAGAGAGAGAGAGAGAGAGAGGCAGAGGCATAGGCAGAGGGAGAAGCAGGCTCCTTGCAAGGAGCCGGATGTGTAACTTAATCCCTGACCTGGGGATCACACCCTGAGCTGAGGGCAGATGCTCAACGGCTTAGCCACCCAGGCATCCCTGATTCAACAATTTTTTACAATATCAGTGCTCATAATGATAAGTGTACTTTTTAATGCCTGATACCTATTTCACCCATTCCACCCAGCCTCCCCTCTGTAACCAGAGGATTTCTATTTCTGAGACCCAAGAAAGAAGAATAGGTAACAGGAGCAAGTCATGAACTAGAAGGGGGGAGGGATAGAGATTCTATTCCTCTAGTTAAGAGTGGGTGATGGCAGGTTTAGAAGAAGGGGCTGGAGTATTAGGAAAATAGCTAATCAGAAACAAGGAGAGTCAGGTGGAAACCCACAGGATCAAAATATGTGGTTGGAAAATAAATGATAATAAATCCATAGTTTGTTTAGTAGCAAAAGAACCTTGGCCACTGGGAAACCATGGATATAGTTTCTCTTACTGGGTCACCAGGACCTGTCCTAGGAGTTTGAGTCAATTCTGAGTCATATCAGAAGGAAGGCTATCACCTTTTTCTGACTGTGTAATAGGGACAGGCAAAAGCTCATCCTGGAATTAATCATTAGAGGCCTTAGCTGCAGGGAGCAGGAGATCTAGGGGCGGGGGAAGCCCCAGAGGGAGTTCAGCATTAGCTTCGAAGCCTCATTATTTTCTTCTTCAATCACTTCATCCTCTTCTGTCTCCCTTCCTTTATTCTCCTTCCTTCCATTCATCCCCCTTTCCCTCCTCCTCTTTTTGCTTTTTCTCCCCTACCTCCTTTTTTACTTTCTACCCCACCCACCCAATTCTCTCCTTGTCCCTCTGCTGGTTTTGATTTCTCTTAAATCTTCATGGACACTCTGTATAGGAGATAAGTGAGGAGTAGCTAAGACTATTTGTCTTTTCTACATTTTTGTTATCTTTGTACTCTCAGTTCCCTACAGGTTCACATCCCTTCCCTGATACAGATCAATTGAGCTTAACAGCTGCAACCAGGCAAAGTTTTCAAAGATAGAACCACTGCTCCTTGGCTAAAAAAATCTCTGCTTGCTTGATCTTCTCCCAAGAAGAGATTATCTTAAAGGCTGGAATCCATGTTCTCACTGCTTTTATGGAGCAAGTCTAAGCCTGCTGGGGGTGCTCTCTCCCTGTTCCTGCCCACTGTGGATATCTAAAGAGATAAGGAAGGAGTCTGGCTGCACAGCCTCAGGCACCTCTAAAGAGGACATGAAAGAAGGTAGTAAGTGTAGCCCAATCACCAGGGTTGGCTTCCACCTCCTCAAATTCTCACCATCCCTTTTTCTTGATGACATTGAACACTCTTTATCAGAGCAAAGATCAGAGTCTGAAATTATTTCTCTCTTCTGCCCACTCCAGTGCGCCTGACATTTATTTGTGCTTTAGTGAGGTTGCATGAGTCAGCTCATGGCTAACAGGAACTCAGCAGCAAGTGCTGAGGTAGGAAGACTAGCTTCACCTTCTCCAGCCAGAGAAAGAGGAGGGCCCGGGCTTGCCAAATGAGTAACAGTTGCTTCCTAGGTATTAGCAGCAGTCTGTTCCCTGATGCATGAGCCACTTTGGTGGTGGCACGTAAATTAAACATTTACTCATGCTTTTGTAATTTATTTTAGTTTTTGTTGTTGTTGGGGAAGGAGAACAACAAGGTTTTGGTTCATGGCTAGGTCTGCAGAGAGGATACATGTGGCACAGAAGTCTAGTTAAGCAGTTGGCAGTAAGGGGAGTCCAGGAGAAAGGTAAGATTCAGTAGGAGAAAGAGGCCTAGCCAGAGATCCCTTAACCATTGCTCCCTGACCAGCTGTAGTTGTCTACTGCACAAATCCATTTCTGTGTATTGCCTGGAGGATTTTTGTTTGATTTGTCTTAGAGTTGTAAAAATATTTACTTCTGATTGTGAGGCAGGTAGTAAGGGATAGGACCGGGGGGAGAAGAGGGAGGCCCCTTTGATTTGGCTGTCAGGTCTGTATGTTCCAGGAATTCTAAGAGGGAGTTCATGATAGAGTTTCCTACAGTAATCATTTATCAGCTATGATCACATTCAGTGAGTTTGACTGTATTAGGTAGACAGACTTGGAACGCTTTAGTACTACTTATGCATTATATCTATGAAGATAGGCTTTCAAGCCCTGGATGACTGGAACTAGGTGTGAACTCTTGAAGCATATGTCATTTGAAATTGTCTGTATGTGAAATGTCTTTGTTTTTTGTTGACCTTTAGTGGCTCATATTAATTCATAATCCTGCTCAAGGCCATACTCTTTTTAGGACCAGTCTACGGTAATCTCTCTTGGCCAGCTCTGGAGGAGGAGTGGATTAGCCATCATGCACAGAAACCTATAGAAACCCACCCAGGCAAGATGAATAAAGAGTTCTTCATTCCCAGATAATCCAAATTCCCAGTCAGTTAATCTTTTTGGGACTCAAGCACAGTTATATTGGAGGCTGTGCTGGATAAAGAACAGCATGGATGATGAACTTGTTGCAATAATTTGATCTCTGGTATCTGCAAAGTAGACTGGCCCATGGTAAATAAGGATGACCTTTAGAATCTTAGAGGGAATTGATAATGAATACATCCTAGGAAAGGCCCAGAAAGGTTATCTCCCAGGCCTTCCTAAAAAGTGATGACTGAATTAGAGGAAATCTCCAAGAGACTTCTGGGTCCCTACTGTAGCCATGTCACTAGATAACACACCAATCTCAAACAGAAGAAAAGCATCTTCTGAGCCTTGAAACAGAAGTTGAATCACTCCTGTAGAACAACTTTCTTGATGCTCTTTACCTTGTTTTCTTTCATAACATTTCCTTTTCTTTTTTTATCTATCTTTTCTCAGTCTTTAGATTGCCAAAGGGGTGCTTGGGATCTTACAGACTGTTCTTTACAACAAAGGTGGATACCCATATTTCCTAGGGCACCATGGTTAAAAGGAATATAATCAATGGTGTTTACCTTAATAAAAATAGGTTGTGTTTTAACAGACATCATTAGGGTAATTGCTCAGTTTCAGACCCAAATTTCAAACCACTTATAAAGAAACACTTCTTCTTGGATATCAGAAACGCATTCCTGTTAGTTTCCTAAGACCACTGTAACAAAATATCGCAAACTGGGAGGTTTAAGACAATAGAAGTTTATTTTCTCACAGCTCTGGAGACCAGAAGTCTGAAATCAAGGTGTCAGGAGGGTTGGTTCCTTCTGGAAGCTCTGAGGGAGGATCTGTTCCATTCCCCTCTATTCTAGGATTTGGTGGTTGTCTGCAATCAGCATGCATAGTTTGTAGAAGCATCCCTTCAAGTTTTGCCTCCATCTTCAAGCGGCTGTCTTTCCTCATGTGTGTCTGCCTGTCTCCAAATCTTTCTCTCCATATAAGAACACCAGTCATTAGACTTAGGGCCCACCCTCATCCAATATGACCTCATTTTGACTTGATTCCCATCTTCAAATTTTCCAGATAAGGTCACATTCAGAGGTACTGGGGGTTAGGACCTCAGCATATCTTTTTGCGGGACACTATTTAGCCCCCAACAATTCTGAAGCCTAACTCATGATATTCTCCCTAAACCTATGCCTCAGACTTTTTTTTCAGTTTAGTCCTTCATTTATTCAACAAATATTGGGTACCTATGGCATAATTGTTGGTGCTGTGAATATAATAGTAAAAATTAGCAAACACCATGAAAATCATTTGTGTATGTCTGAAAGCATCCTGTATTTTATCACTTCTCCTCCCCAAATCCAAACCATTATCATGTCTTGTTAACTTTATTTCCTAAATATTTTTTGGATCCATTTACTTTTTTTCCAACTCCATCTCAATCTCCAGAGCTTAAATTTGCACATTCTCTTGCCTGGACCATTGTAATAGTCTAATTGCAAATCACGTGTAATGCTACTCCTGTCTAATAAGTTTCTATAAAGCAGCTAGATTCCCTATCTACTTCCCCCAACACATCCATACTTCGTGACTTCCCAGTACTTTTAGGATTAGGATAAAGCCAAACTCATCAAGGTGGCCAGTGAAACTCTGGGTGGTTTTTTTCTGTCTGCCTGCCCAGCCGTGGCCCACACCATGCCTCACCCTTTACTTGCTTAGATGCAGCCACTCCAGTCTTCTTTTTGTATCACAAATGCTAAAATTATAAAGATCACCTGGGAATCTTGTTAAACTGTAGAATGAGGTAGATAAAGACATCTGGGTTGGGCCTGACATTTTTGCAGTTCTAATCAGCTTCCAGGTGATACACATACTGCTGGTGTGGGACTCTGCTTTGAATCCAAAAGTCAGCCAGTCCTCACGTTCCCATTTCATATGCTCTGGCACAACTTTTTTTCTTTTTTAAAATATTTTATTTATTTATTTGAGAGAGAGAGAGAGAGTGAAAGGGAACACAAGTGAGAGGGTGGAGTAGGCTCCCTACTGAGCAGGAAG